CAACATCCGAGCAGCTGGTTTTCCACACTGACGGGCACAAATGTCTCACAAGTATAAAAACAGAAGAGGCGGATGACAAAAGAGAGTAAATAACATAAAAATGTAGAAATTGGGATTAACGTTGGGATAATTTGGTCTTCAAGTTGTGTAAAAATGTAATTTTTGTCACATTAAACTAATTAAAAATGTCAAAGTCTATAATATGGTTCCACGACTGTCTTAATATATTAAACAAAATGCTCAAAAAACATAAGAAATTAAAACTTTTTTAACTCAGTGAGATGCCATTTAAAAAACAAAAGTTCTGTTTTGTGATCTATCTGAGAACATAAATTGTCTAAATGCTGTTAATCATAGACTTTATCTAGACAAAAACATATAAATAAATAAACTAGAGGTGGGAATTGAACAAGGTAATTATGATTAGAAAGAAATAACACGCTAAAAAAAGTTTGCGCTTGAGCCAGAGCGTGCCCCATTTGTGGGGAGCCTGGGCTACAACACATAGTGCAAAAATGACTTATTAGCTGAGTTTAAAAAAAACTAAAAACACGAAAACTCAAAATTAAAATCTGACCGAGACCCAAAATATTAAAGATGGAGCACGAATTTGTTAAAGTATTGAAACTTTTTAATAAAAGACATTTTGACCTACATTTTAAAAAGCTGATGTCTTCCAAATAATTTTTCCCCTCAAATAAGAATTTAATTGTCTTTGCATGAAGCTTTAATTTACCGCTTGAAGCAGCAGAAAACATGACTCTGACTGACCACCACAGGAGAGTTTAAGCAGAAGGTTTTTTTCACTGATTCGCGCTCCACGTGTTCAGGAGCACCACTGGGTTTAGGTGTGTGCCACACGAACCAAAAACATGGTCAAATCAGCAGCTTTTTTCAGCCTCATTTGTTGGAAATGTAGCATTTCCTCAGTGGAGGTTTGTGTGTGTTTCTGGAGTACGCTGAAGTGTGACAGTGTGTGGTGGAGCAGCGCTGGAGTGGGAATCCTGGAGGAGAGCCAGGGCAAACACGAAGCTGCCTTAAATGGAGCCCGAGTGCAGTGGAACAACTGTCTGAAACCAGGCGGTGAGTTTACACAAGTTAACACTGTCCTCCTTCTTCTTCTGTGGTTTTTCAGGTGTGAAGAACTGGCACATGATTGGATATCTGCAGCCAGAGACCTCCTACGATATCAAAATGCAGTGCTTTAACGGTGGGGGGCAGAGCGATTACAGCAACGTCATGATCTGTGAAACCAGAGGTGCGAAGACTTGAACGCACGAGCAACAAATCAGCGGTTCGGTTTGTGAAATCCTGAAACTGACGCCTCATTTCTGGTGCAGCTCGCCAGTCTCCCGGGTCTCCCAGTCAGCACCCCTTCACCCCTCCTGGACCCCACCTCCCTGAGCCCTCCAGCTCACCTGGCGGACTGCTCTATCTGATTGTGGGCTGTGTTTTGGTGGTGATGGTGCTCATCCTGCTGTCTTTCATCGCCATGTGTCTGTGGAGGAATCGCCAGCAGAACAACACGAACAGTGAGAAAATCCAACACCAAACACCAAATAATTGCTTCATTTTTTTAAATAATTGTCAGCCCCCGTGGCGGCTTGTGAGTCATACTCTATCCCAGCACATACACAGATCCCAAGGTGCTTGCAAAAGTCTTGGCCGTCGTTCAGTAAACTACTTGCTTGACCGGTTGCATGTGGAAATAGTTGTGATCTCTGTAGATTTGGAGAAAGAATCAATTCTTTATTTCCTGTAACGTAACAGGAAACAAACAGGAAAATCTTAACGTCCGCTCTGTAAATGGTTACAGATTATTCCCTGGAAACTCTCCACCTCAGATTAAATGCAGTGAGAATTAGAGATGCCACTAAATCTTTATTGAAGGAAAATATGCGATTTTATTTAAATCAAGATCTAAAGAAATGTTGAAGCTGCTGCTTGTGATTCATTAGGGTCACCACAGTAAACACACACCTACGAGCAACACACATTACTACAAAAAAAATATTGCTTCAAACTGGGGGGAGAAATATGTTTGTCGCAAAAAAGTAATAATGATAAAAACAACAACAAAAAAGACCTCCAGAACAAATAGTTGTGCAAAAATTACAGTATGTCAAATAAATTCTTAAATAGTAAGCAACCGAAGGCTGTGATGGTCACACGTTTCATTTGTTGTTTATTTATGCTGTTTTTGTCAAAGATACGACTCGCTGAAAAAACCCTTTGACACACCTAGATTTAACACTGCCGACGGTGCGCTCTGGAGGTATTTGAGAGAAAAGTCGTATAGCCGTGTTAGACGCTGTGGCTAAAACGAGACCAAACTGCTGATGTTTTGATGTATAATTTGTGTAGTCAGTGAAAACATTGTCAGTCAGAAGAGTTTGTTTTAAACAACTCAGTTTGTGCGAGATATGATCTCATGATAAAATATTCAATAGACCTGAAAGTCAAACTGGGGTTACTTCAAAAACCTTTAAGATATCAAAATACTATTTTGGGCATGTAAGGCTCAAGTTACTGTGACCTGTTTAAACTATTTATACCTCAGCTTTAGAGCCAAATTACTGCAGAATGTCTTTGCCGATTTTAGCGGTTTGTCTACGTCTGGTGGTGGACGGCTACCAAAAGTTGAAACATTTGACCATTTAGCTCTATGTAGGTATGACAGAGGCAGAGAAATTAGAAAAGCTTTAATGCTTATTGATCCTTAAAGCAACACTGTGCAGTTTCCTGCTCCTCCGCCCTACTGGTTGAAAGTGGAATTACAACTATTGTGTTAGTGGTGGTCAGAGGGGCCGACGGCGCCAAATGGCAGCCCCGCCTCTGTCAGACCTCCCCAGGGCGGCTGTGGCTACAAGTAGCTTACCTTCACTAGCGGTGTGTGAATTTGAGAGTGTGTGAAAGCGTCTTTGGGTGTCTAGAAAAGTGCTATATAAGTTCAATGCACTATTATTATTATTATTATTATTGTAAAGAACACTGCTGTAGCCTGCTGCAGCTAGCGCTAACAACAAGCTAACCCCAACATGAGCCAACTAATACTAAAATAAACCACAGAGTAAAAAGATCCACACTGTTGGTCAAAAAATATTACTTCTATTCCCAGTAGTAACAAAGCCAGGTCAATAGTACCTTAAAACCAGTGTAGGTCATGTCGATGTTCACTCCGGTTTTAGCTGTTTGCTTCGCCTCCAAAGATATTACTCTCTCACCTTTACTTCCAGGCTCTGCCGTGATGCCAACAGAAAAGCAAACTTCTCCTGTTTCTTCTTCTTGTACTTTTTATTGATGGTCGGCAAACTGAAAAAGCTAACTGCTAGCATAGTGGCTAACAGCCGTAAAGCAGGTAAAGAGCGCCCCCTAGAACACCTACCTGCTCCGCAAAACTGTTAAGTATCTGGCCAGTAGAGGGCTGCAGAGTGGTGTCAGATATGAAGCGTTTCTAAATCAACAATCACTGTTAAAGCTCCAGCTTAAAGTTTAAAAACTATTTAGTGTTACTGTAATCAGTCATTTTAAACTTTTTAATCTCTAATTTTCCATCCATTATAGAGTTTGACCCTCCTGGCTACCTGTACCAGCCTGCAGAGTTGAACGGTCACGTCCTTGAATACACCACGCTGGCGCCGGGCAGCAGCCGTGCCAATGGGAGCATCCATGGTAGCTACGGGCACAGTGGCCAGATGTTACCCCAGGGGTGCCACCACCTCCACCACAAACTACCCAACGGCTTGGCGCTGCTTAACGGCTCCGGCGGTTTATTCTCACCCGGCCACCCACACGGCCACGAAGGCGCGCTGCCCTGTAGCGCCCATGACTGCGAGCACTCGCACCCTCACCACCACTTAAACGTGAGCTCAGCCGTCATGACGGTTCTGACGATGTACCTGTGTTGTGCAACTTCACCAAAAATGTGGTTAAATTGTCTCGACAGGGCGGAGGCGCATACACGGCTCTTCCTCAGACGGAGAACTCTGACTGCATGAGCTGTCAGAACCTGTGCAACAACAACAGGTGAGAAGACAGATTAAGAATCTATTTTAGCACTTTTGTTTGCAATAATCTGGATTAGAACAAGTCAAAGTGTTGTTTAATCAGGGAAACAAGACACTTGGCAAAGCTGAGTTGATGCTTTAGAGAAATATCAGTGAAAATCAACATGAGGCTGTAGGATATTAAAAGAGAAGCTGCTCAAACGTCATGAGATGCAGCTGACAAAATGTGCTGATGAGCCTGTTACACACACACACACACACACACACACACACACACACACACACACACACACACACACACACACACACACACACACAGAGGCCTCCCACTTGTCCCGTTTGTGTATTTAAGGGTCTCCAGCATCACAGTTTACTCTGCGCGCAATGAGCCAGCAGACCTAATGAGCTCCCTGTTTATTTACCTCCAGCTGCTGGAGGGGGTGGATGGATATTGGGTGGGGGGGGGGTTGGTCCACGGTCCAGTTGTGTACCCGAGGAGAAGTTGAGTTTAGGAAAATGTGGAAAACTCACTGCTCTAGAGAGTAAAACCACAATGTGTTTCCGTAAAGTTTTCAAAAGTGGATTTTCAGTCTTTATTTCATTTGTTGAGAACAGTTTTAACTTCTGAGCGCTCGCTTCTTACTTCACAGACCGTTACGGTGAAGTAAGAGTTTCTGTTTGTATATTCATAAGCGTCTGATTAAAGAAACATGGCCTGCCTTTTCTTTCCGTCTCATTTCGTCTCTTGCAGATGTCACAACAAGACCAACGGCACTTTCCCCAATGGCACGCTGCCTTTGATGCACCGAGTGGCACCCTGCCAGCAGGATGGGATGGAGATGGTCCCTCTGGGCCAGGTTTCACCTCAGTGTCGAGGCTCCGACCCAGAGGCTGACAGAGGGTACCAACCAAATGAGCTCCAGGGGTCCTTGCCCTCACAACGTTCCTTCTGTTTGATTCAGAACAACGAAAACTCCCCAGGGGATAGCACTGGTGAGACACGAACCCTATTATAAGTGTGTTGTTTTAGTGTTTGCAAGGTCAAACTGACTGGGCTCACCAGCAGTGTTGAGAACATTGCTTAAAAAAAGTAATTAGTTATATTTACTGATTACTTTGTCAAAAAAGTAACTCAGTTCAGTATAAAAGTAACTAATTGCCAAGAAAAAATAACTATTTTGCTACATTTTTCATTAAAGAACGCAAGAAAAATGGGTTCCCTTCTTACTTAACTATAAATTACTACAATACTGAAATATAAATGCCCGGAACATAGTAACATGTATGTGTATATATATATATATATATATATATACACATATATATATATATATATATATATATGTATATACACATATATATATATATATATATATATATATATATATATATATATATATATATATATATATATATATATATATATATACATATATATATATATGTATATATATATATATATACATATATATATATATACTGTGTATATATACTGTGTGTATATATATATATATATATATATATATATATATATATATATATACATGTATACATATAATTTTTATAAAACTTAATAACTGGAATAAATGGGCACTTAACAGGATGAACTACAAACAGGAACATTACACTAATCTAGACTATTAGAATGTCACTGTGTGATATTTAACAAGACACTAATCAGCTAAAATTTATAATTGCAAATATAAACACCTGTAAGGGTTCCTGAGCCTTTAAATGGTTTCTCAGTCTCGTTAAATCAATCAAATAAATGTTATTTTGCACAATTTTTAAAAATTTACAGCTTCACATATTTGTGTGTTTTTAGTGGCATTTCTGTTTCTGGTAATCTAATAATGGTTAAATAAATAAATAAATGAATGAATGACTCTAGAGGAGGCACAAATGTGACTTAAATCTAATCACTTGGGTCAGACCCAAACACAGAAGAGCTGCAGCTGGGTGGTGAAGACACATAGGTAGTTCTAATAACACCTGAGCGCTCATGACATCTGAGACTGATGCAACCAGTGTTACAGCGGAATGATCAGAAACAGATTACATTTGAATAATCTAGGAAGGTAGAAGATCGTGACGTCTGAGCGGCGAACAGGTGAGCTGACCTTCAGGATGTCCCGTTGTCACGCTAAGGGACATCCTGCGGGTCTGCAGCCGTAGACTATTCATCACGTCTTCCTCGTTCTTCATGGGCCGTGATGCGCTTGGATGAAAACATTTGCTCCCAATCAGCTGATGACAGCTTCAACACACCGTGCTGCTGAATTAGTAACGCACGCATTTTCTTATCAGTAACGGAAACGGATCAACAGGAAGATGGATTAAAAGAAGACGGGAATTATTAGATTATTCGTTACTGAAAAAACAATTTTTTTTAGTAACGCCGTTATTTTAAACAGCCTTATTCCCATCACTGCTCACTAGTCACTAGGGGCAACGGTGGCACAGGAGTTAAGTGCTCGGCCCATAATCGGAAGGTTGCAGGTTCGAGCCCCGCTCAGTCTGTCGCTGTCATTGTGTCCTTGGGCAAGACACTTAACTCACGTTGCCTGCTGGTGGTGGTCGGAGGGACCGGTGGTGCCTGTGCTCGGCAGCCTCGCCTCTGTCAGTGCGCCCCAGGGCAGCTGTGGCTACATCGTAGCTCATCCCCACCAATGTGTGAATGTGTGTGTGATTGGATGAATGACTGATTGTGTTGTAAAGCGCCTTGGGGGGTTCCAGGACTCTAGAAGGCGCTATATCAAATACAGGCCATTTACTAGTGACTAAAGAAGGACAAGGGATAGAATACAGATTTTCAGTTCAGACTGAACTTTTTTAATTAAATATTTGAGTTTTGTTTTCATGGTTTTCATGATTTTTTAGTGCCTGGGGGAATAATTGCAATTATTACAAACCATGGTGTGTTCCCAAACTCTCGTCATGACGCTTGTTTTGTTTCTTCAGAACAAAAATTAGTTGCATCAAAACTGAATTATTTCTCTTTCCAAAGACCAAGTTCACTCTGGTTATTTTTTCATTTGTTTTATTTCAGTACATTTGCAGTGATCTCTAGTATAAATAAGTGCCTTGTGAGTTGATCTCTGTGGGATTAATAGTTCTCATGCTCCGGTTTCAGGAAGTAGAAGTTAGGCGGTTTAGAGGGGGGCATAAAACAACACGATATTGAGTGTTGTTTTTTTTTTTATTTCCTGATATTAGGACATCTCATCTCTGATTGGCTAACAGAAATGTGACTACCACTGACTCAATTTTCTTTGAAACGTTAATGTTTTAGCTCCACAGATAATAGAATAGAATAGATAATAAACTGTTGCTGTTTTAACGTCCAGGAATCAGCAGCAGACATCTTGGCTAGTAGAAGGTAACCATTAGAAATAGCAACTTCAACACATGGCAGAGCTCCTTCAGGCTTGTGTTTTTGTGGAAATGCAACATCCACATTTTGTCGGTGGTAGAGTCACATTGCTGAGAAATGTCCATATATCAGGAAAGAAGACTCCAAATCCTCCAAAATACATCGATTAAACGAGCGATCCACACTACTTAGCCTTTGTTCTCTCCTTTAATAACTGGTCAGGGCTTGACAGTGTGACATGCTAGCTCTTTACTAGCCGAAGTTCACCCAGTAAAGTAGCAACATTTAAGTAGTTATCAGTGTCATAGGGTAAAACGTGATCTATTTTTTGTTTCTGAAATAACTCAAAGATAACACTGTTAGCTTGTTAGCATAGTTGTTTGATCACTCTGCTAGTAGAGCTAGCATGTATCATCATGTAGCAACCCGAAGCAGAAGGTTACCTTTATAGTTATAAACGTAGGTAATTTAAAATCGTAGATGTGTCCTGGATCATCATGTGTGCATTGTTGAAGGTAGGTCCTGTGGCGGTAGCATGTAAAAGCCATTGCCAACGCTAACGTTACTCTGACCTGGAAGTGCTTCAGCTGCTCTGAAAAATCAGGACGTGTCAAAGCGGGGGTTTGTGACATAAACAGAACCAGAGAACCCAAACATTGTGTTTCTTTTTCCAAATGCCCCCCTGTCGCTTTAAGAAATCTAATCTCTAAATTCTGACCCGTTTCAGCCGCACCAATTGGGTTTTTACATCATCAGCATTTCTCGTGTTGTCTGCATACAAACTATGCAGCAACACCACAAATTACACTCTGGGTCTCTCCAGAGTCTGCTCGGCTTTTTTTTTTAATACGAAGCACAAACCTTCTCGTTTGTCTTGCAGCTGAAGAGGAGCCGGAGTGCGTGGAGGTGGAGGAGCGTGTGGTGTCCTGGGTCAGCCTCGGACTGCCAGACTTAGACTGCGACAAGAAGCCTGGGTGGATCTGCAGCGGCAGCCTGGCAGTAGAGCTGATTCAGCCCGGCCCACAGGAGGCCTGAACGTAGCCCACACGCAAGCACACTCCCCAGCCTCGGGGAGAGGAACCGGGCCCAGCGAGATGGAGGAGGAGGAAGGAGCGCAGTGGAAGGAGGAAGACGGGGATAGTCAGAGACACTGCTTATTAAAGGACACAGAAGTGTTGGACCGAGACGCAACAATAAAAGACTTGAGAGCAAAAGACAGACGGAGGAAAAACTTTTAGCACGATGGAGGGAAAACGCTCATAAAACATCAAGAACTCTTTAGATGACTTATTTATTTTTTGTAGTAGTAAAATATTATTTCATATGAATGTATCTGTTTAAAAGAAAAAAGTTTGTCTTTTATATTATTTATGCCTTTTGGATGAGAAATACTTTTTATTTTTTTGTCGTTTTGTCCCTCTGATCCACTGGAGGGGGGAGATTAGTCTGTAAAGTTTTGTAATATAAAAAAGAAGATATGGAAGACAAAAACCAACGACAATCCGCTCCGAATGTCTTTCTTTCCCTTCGGTTCCGTGCGGCAGCGATGAATTTCCCTGCTGGGGTCCAAACCCATCCATATTTCTGGCAGGCCTTTGATGTGGTGCCGTGATGCGCCGTTCCACTGCACTGACCCCTAAACACTCCCTTCACTGTTCACATTAAGGCCGCTGCTCTTTGCTTCATTGAATGCTTGATAGCTCATCGCTTTACACAAAATGCGTCATTGCTTTGAGAGCGCTTTTGACCTGTTGGCCCCAATCTGTTGGAGAACTGAAGCAGTTCTACGAACACAGAGCTGCGATGTTCGAGCAGCTCTTTAGGGCTAATCTGTGTGTGTTAGAGCGGTGGTTCCCAACATTTTTCCCTTGAAGACCCCCTTGTCTGCATCCAATACAAGCCAGGACCCCCTAACCCCAACTCCTACCCACATATACACAAACTTTATACAGACATTTATCGTTATTACCCTCATAAAAAGATTTGATTATACTATTATTAGCCGTGGTATTGGGATTTTATAAATGTAAGTTTTGCAGTTACAGTCTTATTAACCTCACAAAACTGTGGGTGCCCCAAGTTAGGGAACCACTGTAAGGACGTTCAGAGTGGGCGCAGAGCAAAACTAACCATAGTGGCAAAGTTTAAACTTTAAAGGCATACTTCATATTTTTAAATCATTTTCTTGAGCCATTATGTGCTGAAATAAAAATGTGGGGCAGCAGTAGCTCAACAGGTTGAGCGGGTTGTCCAATAATCGGAAGGTTGCAGGATCGATCCCCGCTCCGGACAGAGAATTCTGCTGGTGTGTCCTTGGGCAAGACACTTAACCCACCTTGCCTGCTGGTGGTGGTCGGAGGGACCGCTGGCGCCTGTGCTCGGCAGCCTCGCCTCTGTCAGTGCACCCCAGGGCAGCTGTGGCTACATCGTAGCTCATCACCATCAGTGTGTGTGAATGGATGAATGATACACTGTAGTGTAAAGCACTTTGGAGTCCTTACTCTGAGAGGCGCTATACAAGTGCGGGTCATTTATCATTTATAAAAGGACCCTTTACAGAGTGTTACGACAGTTTCACTTTTGTTTACAGTACAGTAACATGCTTATTAAGCACGGTTTATTTTAAATAGGTGATAATACGTAAAAACTGTAGTATAATTACTTGCAAACACAGTATTTGTGGTGATTTATTTATGAAAAAGACCGTGTTTGTCATGATTTCATGAGTGACGGTAAACAATGGGAGAAATTTCTTGTTTACAGTATAATAACGATACTCTACAAGCCATTTGCAAGCTAACGGTTAGTTAAACATACAACAAGCAGTAATGCAACTTCCAGAGGTGGCGTGTCTCTTCAAGGTAACAAACAGCCTGTGACGTAGTAATCGGTCTGCGCATTTCCTTCAAGTAGCACATATCGACGGGTAGCACGGATAGTCAGAACACCGGTATCCAGCACGTTTTAGTGGTTTCTCTGCTCCAACACACTTGATTCAGTGGTTGAAGTGCCTGTGCAGCAGCTCATCAGGCTCTGCAGAAGTGTGTTAATTACCTGCTGATTGATATCAGGTATGTTGGAGCAGAGTTGAAGCTAAAATGTGCTGGATACCGACCCTCCAGGCCCAGAATTGAATACACCTGCTTTACAGGGTTAATGAAATATTCCCCCCCTCCCCAAACGCCCCCTGTGGCCAGAATACGGCACTTGCAACTTTTAAGAGTGCTGGTCCGGTCTGCTGATTTGTTTCATTTAGTGATGAATCACCAAATGAAGGCTGGAGAGACATTTCAGCTTTCAGATTAAAGCATGAAAAAGACAAACGCACAGCGAGGAAATACATTTCGCTTTTGGTTCAACTAACGGACACTAGGGGGTGCTAAGAGCAAGCCAAAACTGCCTGGTCTCCCTTTAATGTGAATTTCTTTGGCGCAAAGATACATTTCTGTTGTAATATTTAAAAGATAGGGTTCCGATTTAGAATTTAGCCTTTGATTGGGGGGATTTATAGCATGGACGTTGGTTACTATTCATGTTGAATAGGGATTTTCAGTCTGAAGCGTGTTTCTGTGTAAAAGTTATAAACCACCATCTTTCTAGTAGCTTCCTGAGCAGCCTCGGTTCAGAGATATAGAGGGTAAATCTTGCTAGACTGATGAGCTAACAGCAAATGCATCCATTGTTTCTAATCAAATCAAAAATATTTATAAATCTGTACACTGTTCTCCATCTGATGCATATTTAGGCAAAAATTATTAATCTCTCCTGCTGATTTTAACCCTGAATGCACCAAAGTGCTATGTTTTGCTGCCACAAGTGGCGTTTGTCTTTCAGCTTCTTGGTTAGTTTACAAAACACTTCATACACCAGGAGGTGATGTGAAGTATTTAGGACATTGAAGAAGTTTCTTATTCCTGAACAATTCCCTAACTCCCCTAAAGTCTCAGACCTTGTTTCACATTTGTGTTCCCGCTGATTGCAGATGATAGCTCCTCGCTGTGATGAGAGCGGCCCAAGCTTCCCATGCTCGGTGCCTGCCGGCCCATGTTTTCTGCCAGAGGCCTGGGCTCACCTGGCATCTCTGCTCCGTGTGGTGGGATATTCCTGGCACCTGGATTTCTGAGGCGTGGCACGGCTTCTTCAGGAACAGGCTGCCTCTGAAACTACGGCGTGTTTTTGATGTAGCCCGATTGGACCGTTTTTGAGGTTAGAAACCAAAACGGGGTAGCTAATGATCCACAGAACTGGCTATTCTCTGTCTTGTGTTGCTTTTAACTGATTTTATTTCCATGAAACCTCTCTGCAGCGGGTAAAAGTGAGCAAAACAAAAGGGTTGGAAAGGAAACTAGGAATGAAAGGAAAAGGGTCTGAGGAAAGGAGAGGGGATGCTGACAGATGCAGCCTGGGCTGGAGAGGAGAAGATAAGGGCAAGGTTGTGTCTAAATGAACTGCTTCTGCGTCTCCCACGTCTGTCAGTCGGCACTCTCCATCAGCCCTGCCCTGCACCCTCATCCCACGCAGCTTCACCCTTTCATTAAGGAGCCCATGGGAACAAGAAAGCTCATTGTCCACCCAGGAATTCTGCCTCTTTGCTGCATATCCGACCTGTTAACGCCAGGCCCTCTTCCCTCCGCCCACCATTCTTCCTCTCCAGCACACCCTGAATGAAGCGATTCTTATGAATCGAGCAGTGTGTTGTTAACTCGCTCGATTCAGCCTCAGGCGCTTTTATCCTCAAGATGTCACAAACCACAAGGGAAGCATGTTGTAGTTGGAGGGATTCCAACTGATGTGCTCCCGTACAGTCCGACTAATAACTGGAATTTTGGTCTGCTTGTAATCAGGCTCGGATGCAGAAGAAACACAGCAGGATAAAAATAAGATTTTTTAATGATTTTTTTATTCACCGCACAAAAAATCTGAAGCAATATGTTCATTTCAGATAAAAAGAGCACTTATTTCATGCACAAAGACTCCCATGAAAGCAAATGAGCTAAAAAGTTCCCTCTAAGTTATTTCAGGGACTGCCAGGAATACTAAAAGCTGCAAAACATAAGAAAATGATCACTCAAAACTACAGGAGGCATAGTTTTCAGAACAAAACAGAAGCGTAGAGAGATGGTGAATCGAAAATCAAAAACACAGATTTGTCTGATGACTCCAGATGGTTTTAATGGAAGTAAAAAAAAAACACAAGACTGGGAAAGTCTTTGAAATGGAAACCACAACCTGCATGTCTGCAGGAGACAATGCTGCAGTCTTCACTGATCAAAGCCGCTCCACGTTCTCACCCTGATCACTAAACTTTAATAAACACCACTTTCTACACGACTTCTGTAAACTTCACACAATGAAACATTTTCTTTTCAGCCTGTCTGTGTTCATCTGTTTTTTGGGGGGGTGCAGCCCGTGCACACAGATTAATCAAATCTGGGTCAAATTCACCAAAACTCAATAAATCAATTAAAATCCCAATAGGTCTAGTCCTTGACATTTCTTTCATAACGAGTTCCAAACGTGTATAATATCCCATGGCTTACTTATGACCGTTAAATCAACAACCTATTTGTGTTTCTTTTTAACAACTTTTTTTTTTGGTGTTCACATCAAGACTCATTTGGTTAACAGCGTGAACTTTGGAACTTTATAAATGATAAAAAATATTCTTCAAAGTTATAAGTTCAAAAGTACTTATTTTGAAAAATGTGCAAAAAAGATTTGAACGTCCTTTTCATGTTAATATTTACTTTTTTGCCATCTTAATGCAATTAACACAACAATTATTTAAAAAAATCTGATTAGGAGTATCTAGAGTCCAGATGAGTACAGTTGCTTTTAACGCTTTTAAAGCAAAACTCGGTGTCTTGAATAAAACTTTGTCTTTGTGTTTCTCCCCTAAAATAATATAATGGAAAAGAGAAATTTTTGACTTTTTATTGTTTCATGTGTAGCTTAAGGCTATAATCTGGAGTTTTCCTCTTTCATGAATTATGTAAGATTTTATAGAAAACCATAGAAGTGATAGTCCTATCCTTTACTGTGATATATTGTAGGCAACACATTTCTTTTTTACTAAGCCCGTCCCGCGTCCCGTAGAACCTCATGCAATTTAAACTGAGCTCCGATCAGCATTAGCCAATAGCGTTAGACATACGCGTATTTGCAGATGTTAATCACCTGTACAGATACAGATTTGGCGACATTTCTCATGGACCAGTAGGTAATATAAATATATATCGTAAATACGGAAGTGGTTAAAATAGCTTAAGCTGAAATGCATTTGTCAGCCTCTAGATGGTGCTATCAGAAAAAAATCCTCCAGATTGTAGCTTAAAGAGGTTTTTAAAGGTCAACTTTACTCATATTTATAATATATTTTTTAATACAAGCAGTAGGAATATCTTGTAAGTCAGTCTCTGGGGAAAAATGCTCTGGTGCCCTTGTTGTGCCTTCCATGCTGTGGAGTTGCTAAAAGTTAACTTCTTATTAGTCGAG